ATATTCTCAAATCAAGAAGGAGACTTCACCTGCCACAGCCCGCAACAATCCAACAAGATAGGAATATGATCCGACCTAGGCCTAGCCATAGCCACTCCACTAGGGCAACATCAGGGAATTCCTCTTTCCAATCTCCCAACACCAAAAACCAATCAAATTTAAAAAGAGTAGGCGCCTCTCAGCCATTGGACCAAGTGAAATGAGCACCCTCCATAGGCAAGTCAATCAATTGATTCCAGCCAATGAACACAAAGAACTCATGCATACCTGATGTCAGATACCTATGTGGATCTCTCATATGGGAATCTGAAGATGTTTAAGTAACCACCCAAACACCATGCGACACTCCCATCTCCTGCAAACATTCCCACGCTCCTCAGGAACTAGGCCCCTTTGGAAATCATCAGTGGGCCCATACACAGCCAAAAAATACCTCATTTTACCCATCTTCTTCAATAAAGAATAGACAAGATATAGACCATCTGGTCCATCTCCCCCTTATCCACCTCCACTTTAGATAACCACCACTTATCCCAAAGCGTTAAATCCTGCCCACTGTCACGCCCCACCGATGGAGGTTATGCCACGCAGGCGACACACAAGCGCTGAGTAGGATGCTGCATGGCAACTGCATGGCGAAAGGAGTTTCTAGAGTCTTCCGGAGTTATCTAGAGTAGTATGGAGTATTCTAGAATTGTGTAGAATCTTGTAGAAATGTGTAGATACTTGTAGAAGTGTATGGAAGTGTAACGAAGGTGGGAAAAGATTCTAGAGAATCGATCTCCACCGTTGGTTAGAATGCATCTTAGCAGTCCTTAGGGATGGGGATGCCTATAAATAGGAGTAGGACTTCATTTTGGAGTCATCAAGTCCTGGGGTGAGTCTTGAGAGCCTTGTAGAGAGTGAGTGGCTAGCCTTGTACAAAACATTCTTTGAAGTAATAAAAGTACCCTTTCCTTGCCAATCAAACTGTGCCTAAGTGTGTGTGAGTGCGCAAGCCAAGAGTGAGGGGCGAGGGCCACTACAACACTAGTAAGCGCACGAGGGGAGTGTGTTGGCTAAGGTGTGCACGAGAGTTAGGCTGATCAAGTGCTTGCGCGGGTAGAAGCAACGCCTTGGTGCCGCACGGGTTTAGCTAGAGTGGTGCTGAAACTTTAGACCCGTGACACCGCGATACTTACCACATCAGGTGCCACCCATTCAACATATATACCTCCCCATAAACTCTAGATAATATCCCTAGTAGGCAAAACCAATTTGGATTCTTTTAGGCACACCACCTGCGCTTCCAACATTCTCACCATCATCTTCACCGCCTTCTTTTTGTCCGGGTCGCTCAAACCGTGAATATACCAAAATCTTATTCTAAGGTTCATGGAAAAACAACTAACCTCAGCTCCCCCTTCCTTCCACCCTCTCCCTCCCTTCCACTTCTATTATCATAATTCACATATGTGACGAAGTTTCTTAACTCCCTCTCACCCCGACATAGCCCTCCCTTCCTCCTTCCAAGGCCTTGGCTTCCCTTAATGCTGCGTTTGGTACGCAGGAATGGAATGCCCATTCCAACCATTCCTTTGTTTAGTATAAAATTTAAAGTCGAATTAACCATTCCCTTGGAATGAAAATTCATTCCACAACTAAACCTGTGGAATGGCCATTCCATTCCCAATTAAATTTTAAAAAAAAAAAAATTTAAGTTCCCAAAAATCCCTCATATTCCAAGTCAAAAAACCACAACCACCACCACCACTGCCACTACCATCCTCCTCCACCACCTTCACTGCCACCACCACCACTGTCTCCGCCTTCCACCTCGACCACCACACCACCGCCATCTCTACTGCCTTCAACGGTTACGCCACCGCCACAGCCACCAACTTCCACCATGCCACCGCCACCTCCACTACATTCCACCACCGTCATTGCCACCACCACAATCACTGTTACCGCCACCACTGTCGTCGCCTTCCACCTACACCGTTGTCGGCGTTGCTACAACTGTCGCAGCCGCCGCCTTCCACCACCATCGCACCACTGCCATCGCCGCCGCCATTGTCTTCCACATCCACCACCTACACTACTACCTCCTTCCACTACCACCACCACCACCACCACCACTGCTTCCATCACCGCCTTCCACCACCACCACCTATACCACTGCCACCTTCCACCGCCACCACAACCGCCTTCCAATATCACCACCTACAACACTTCGCATTCCACCTCCACTACCAAAGTCGCCGCCATCCCCACCACCCTATTTCTTTTGAAAAAAAATTATAGGAGAAAGGTATTTTATTAATTTAATTTATTTGTCACCGGGTATTTTGGACAATTCAATTTGAGATTCATTCCATTCTAGGTTTTAAATTGGTCCAACAAAACACTAAAATGGTCATTATCATTTCATATTTGCATGGGAATGAGAATGACCATTCCATTGCATTCATATTCTCATTCCATTCCCACTTGCATTTCATTCCATTCTGCATATCAAAAGAAGCATAATAGTATTCTACACACCTTAGATTGTTTGGAACATAGCTTTAGCCTCCCTTTGCGTCCCTCATAGGTCAGTCCCAATTACTAATTTCTCCAATGCTGTGATCCATTCCTCAGTTTGAGTTATTCTACCCTCACTAATCAAAATTTCCTCCTCCTCTCCAAACCCCATTACAACCAGAGATTGCACCTCCTCCTACTCCATCATATTTTGTTCTAATCCAGTAGCAAGGGGAATGACATCACAACCATTTTGCTTCTCACCATTAGAGGATGTCTCCACATGCCATTCTGACAAGGTATTGTATCCATCCTCTAAACTGTGTTCTAGTACATTGGCAGTGCCATCCCTCTAATTTTCCTTTGTGTCTCCTTCCCTCAAGCTACAGTACTCCCACTATGCACCTTCAAATCCTCCATGGGTCATTGCACTCTCCTTGTCCAATCAAAGTTGCACCCATTTTCCCACACAAACAATGAAGGCTCCATCATTTTACCACTCAATCGGCCCCAGCTATTCTCTGACATAGAAAGCAACACCCTTCCTTCCTTGTCACGTTCATCCCCATATCTACCCTTTATACACACGTAACCTTGCATAGTGGAACTTGCAATCAAGGCCCACATTAGATTTAAGTGCCACCTCGAACACACGTGACCTTTCCCCCCTTTTAAATTTAAAGTGGTTACCAGATGCACCCCATTCATCGCCACACGTCCACCTGCTTATGCAACATGTCCCCTTGCATGTCCTCTTTCCCCACAATCCCCACTCCCCCCTCTTTCCCATCGCATTTTCCCCACAATATCTTCTTTCTTTTGCCTGCATATCCTCTTCCCACCAATCGTTGCATCTACCACCACTCGTCTTCTTTTATGAGAGAGCTCTCATATCTACCATTGAGGCTCACAGTCTTGGGCAACTTCTCTTCTGAAACGAAGACCCTATAACACCAAAACCACCTCTAGGATCGATTCACCCTCCTTAACCATAATCGTGATCTTAATTAGAAAAAAAAAAAAAAAAAAAAAAAAAAAACACCATAATCGTGATCTTAATAAACAACTAGACATCCAATCTTAGATTAGCATCCCACATCTCCTCGTCCCTTCCATCAAACCTTAATGGCTTCAACATGAGATGGCAGTAGAAATAGTAACAGTGTATTTGGCAAGAAGCGAGATTAAAACTCCGCATGCTACCTTCCAAGCCCGGTTGCCTACTCTTCAATTTGTGTAAGATTTCCAACTTCTATATCAAATTTCCCCACCAAACAGCATTGCAAAGCCTCTCTCCTTTGCCAAATGCCTTGTTCATCCATCTCAAAATCAAACCTGCTTTTTGATTTCGTCACCTTTTATTACTCAATTATGAGGAATTTTTTGTAACCTCAGCATACAAACGATGGCTGGAGCACCGTTGTCGTACTTCGTACAGCCCTTTTCATCTATCGAGGATCCTATTTAACTAGAATGGTAACATGAGTGAGGTGCTGAACGGAAAGAAATCTAATATGGAAAATGTCTTGGTGGATAATGGATTGTAACCTAAATGGAATACTAGGAGGTACAGAACCCTAAATGTATGAAATTTCAGTAGCTTAAAATCAAAATGTGTTGGGATTTTTAAATGGTAGAGGATTGAAATGGATTAGTTTAGGACGTTCTTTATCTACAAAGTACAATTATATAACCAAAGATCTAGTTCGCTGGATAATAGACAGGCAACCAAACTCAATAATAGTTGTAGCATATAGTGGAAGAACTATATCACATGCACTCAAGAACATGTCTCGGATACGGGTATGTGTCCAAAAGTTTGGATTTATAATATCCTCAAACCCAAGAAAGGGATGTGCCTAAATATCTTTCTTTTTATTTTTTTGAAAAAAATAATAATGTATTTGTGTAACAAGTATTCAATGAAGGCATTGCATAAATTTTTGAAGTACTAATGTAACAAACATAAAAAAAGGAATTATATGTACAATAATGTAATAATTTTTAATTATAACATGCTTGTTACACATATCCTATGCCCACCCCATTTGCCGTTTATCCGACAATATCTCTTCATGCGAATTTTAAGTCAATATTATATGTCGCTTACAGTAAGAGAATTCCCCTAATTTCAGACATTTCTTAAAAATGACGTGCCTAAATTTGATCAATTGACCCACATTGTCTGATAATCATAATTATAAGTTAATAAAATTGTAGCATTTATTAAAGGAACTCCAATAAGTCTTTTTATATTATATGTGCATGATACAATATCCCATGGCACAACATAAGTCCACTCAAGCTATCAGTTTACATTCATCCAAAATTTCTTATTTAAGGACAGAGCCACTAGTACCAGAGGTTCCTTCTAAAGATCCCTCTAACTCATTCTATGAAATTCTAGCCAATTACACAGTCCATTTCAAGGTACACGATTAACCAACAAATATAAGAGCACTAGGTTACCTAAAATCTTGAGAATATCCACACACCTGACGTTTACAATAGTTTCCGAGTTGCCCATATTTTGCTAGACCAATGGCATCCACATTAACAGAATGTAGAGAAGCTAAAGTTCTGGCAGCTGCACTGTATAGTGCCCTCCTCCGCTTAGGTGCCAAACCCTGATCAAACACATCAATGACATAATCCAACATGAAAATGAAACAAAGTGCCTAAATATTGTCTCTTTGATGAGCCAATTTACAACAGCAGTAGAACTTCAATTTATAAAACAAAAACAGGATTAAAATAAAGTGTCAGAGTAAAAGTTCATACAGGTAATGTAGGATCTAGATAAATGCGTCCTTCCAAATACTCCATGATGTAAAATGGAGTTCCAATAAGACTCGAATCCGTACACAAACAGAATACCTTAGGAACTGGAACCTGTGTATGAACACCCAGTGCCTGTTGAACCTGTCACATTGCAAATCTTATACATTACATTTTAAAAAAACTTCAGTTTATTGCCATTTTCACGTTAAGTAATGTTACTCTTTAGCATAATCACATATTATTTCAGTGCATCACAAATATAATTGCCCTTCATAAAAGAATATAAATATATATATATATATGCACACACACTGTATACCTGAAATTCTCTGTCGACGGCATGAGCAGATTGTAGTAACTTCCCAGAGGGCTTCTTTCTCAGAACATATCGCTTCACAGAAGAGCCTGAACTAACTTCCATGAGAAACGTAGGATTCGACTGACCGTGCCCGAACTAACTCACAATAACACCCAATCAAGAAAGATCAAAAACAGAACAAAAAATTCTTTGAAAAAGAAAAGAAACAATCAGACATTTCAAATTTTAATAATCCGTTGTTACGAAAAATCAATAATAAATAAAAAAATAAGTGAATTCCACTTCAAATTCAAGTCTTTACACCTCGTCTAATCCTAAATGAGTTGAATTAAGATTAATTGAGTAGAGGGTTTCTGAGTTTTCAAACAAAGAAAAAGCCCAAATTTTGAAACCTCAATTTGTTTCTTTCAGATTCTCAGCACCAAACAAAGAGAGAGAGGTTTCGACCTGAGAGACGGCGAATTTAGAAGGAGAGAGAGGGAAGTCTTGGACATTGGCTGATGAATAGCGAAACAACGCATCGAGATCGAACTCATGAGCAGGATTTACAGAAGTAACGAGATCGGATGTTCGGTACGCCATAGATTATCGTTCTTTCGTTTACAGAGTTCGTTGTTTGCAAAATGCTGAGTGAGTAACTTGCATTGGGGAAATGGATCATAAATGGGGAATAATCCAAGTAACGGATATACACATATATATAGTGACAATGGTGGTGATGTCTGATTTGGTCAAAGGAGAAGTTTTTATACGGCATTTATTTGGTACTAGGGTAAATTGTTTGATATATTAAGGTGATGTTTGGTATGTGCTTTGATTTTGACTTTTTGTTTTATCCTAAAATAAAACAATTATTTTGTTATAAAGTATTTTGAGTTGAAAATGAAAACATGTTTGGAGGCAAAAATTTGTAATGGGAATTTCGAAAATAGAAACATGTATAACATATTTGACAGCATCTTTCATTTTAAGAAATTTTAAAACAAACCATATTTAGCAGAGTTCGAATGTTGTCAAAATTGCTGAAACAAAAAATCTATTTGGCAGGAGTGTTTTTGTTTTGTTTTTTAAATTTTAAAATGTATTAATACATTATTATTTTTATATAATAGTACATTATTTGATATGGTTTGAAAATTGATATTAATATGTTGACCATTTTTTTTTTTTTTTAACAATGACGTCCATTGAAGTTTGAATGCCATGATGATTCGTGTTCATGGGGTCGTAATCGTATCGTGTCGACCTAAGGATATTTTACTAAATATCTTAATCCGAACATGACTCATTTAATAATCGTATCAGAAATCCTCAATACTAACTTGACTTTTTTATTAAACGAATTATACATATAACCCGTTTAATGACCTATTTAATAAAACGAAACATTATATTATTTAAATTATTAATAATACTCAATCAAATAATAAATACTAAAAAAATATAAGTTAATCTCTAATCTACAAAACAATAAATTAAAAGATACAAGTTTAAATAGTTATTTTGAAAATTAAATAAAAATTTGTTAGGACACATATAGTTAAACAAGTATAAATGGATTACAGGTGTTGAACCTCTCAAATCAAACACGATACGATTAACTAAATGAGTTAATCGTGTCAACCCGTTTATAACCTAAACCCATTTAAGATCAACTTAAATCCGCTTAACTCGTATTATATTAACAGGTTGTGTCAAACTTTGTCACCACTAATTTGATAAAGTTAACAAAGTCACCTTCAATCATCTCGTACCACTTTTAACTTATTCATTGACCTATTTAGACAGTGAATTACTTTTTTTCAATTTATTTTATTGAACCAAATTAACTCTCACCGCTCTTTACAAGATAGATATATAAATTTATTGATTACATATCATTCTATAGTCCATACAAACTATATATATATATACACACACACACACTAAGAATATTTTAGAACGTAAATAAATTAATTTACTTTAATCTCCATCTCTATATGATAGTAATTGTGAAAGACAAATATGACCTTAGTAATTTGACATAATTGAAATGATTGAATTTAATTTCTTCCATTTCTTACAAAGTCATAACTAAGAAAAGATAATAACGTATACATTAAATTTCTTAGAATAAATTTTCTATTTATCATCAGCATTTTATTGGATTCCAATCTTATTAGCAATTTAAGGCTAAATAATATGATTTGTTATTTTAATTGGTAGCATGATAAACCCAATAACGTGATTTACAAAAGTAACGGAGCTTGGATGTTCGGTACGTCATAGATTATTGTCCTTTTGTTTACAGAGTTCGTTGTTTGCAATATGGGAATAATCCAAGTAAAACAAATACACGAAGGTATATGCTGACAATGGTTGGGGGATGTCTGATTTGGTCGAAGGAGATGAGTTAGTACTAATATTTATTTGGTATATATGGAGGACAAATCTCATGTATAGGTTCACATTGTAAGTGTATAGACAATTTTACTCAAACCCTAAAAGTTATTTTTTAATCGAGTCATATCACTTTTGCATGTAAAATGACTTAATTATTCTTTTGACTTTCTGTGTTTGATAAAAATTAAAAATTAAGTATTTAAAATTTTTAGTACTTAATTAAAAAATAATTTTTTATGTTTATAATTTTTTAGCGTTCAACATTCAAATTAAGCGCTCAGTTGAGTGGCATTTAATTTACGTGATATTTTAGTAATATTCAAATTGTTCTATCAAACTCACTTAATTAAATAAACGTTTAAAATTAAGCGGTCAATTGAGTTTTCAAACAGCACTTTATGAAAGGGTTTTTTTATGTATAAAATAACTTTTCTACCCCCTCTTTCTCTCTCCTTCTTTTCTTTTTCTTTTTCTTTTTTTTTTTCCCTAAATCTCTCTCCTTCTTTTCTCACTAAATATATATATAAATATATACATATTTTCTTTAAATATGCTACAAATTTAAGTCCAAAATTAATTATTTACATAAATAATAATGTTAAAAAAAATTAAATATTCTATATAACAAAAAATTAAATGCATTATATATAAATTTTTATTTAAATATATATGTTCAGAAACTTTATATTTATAGTATTCAATTTCATGTGTTTTTAATTTAATTATAAATTTAAACTTAAAATTATTTATTTATATTAAATATGTTTAAATATTATATATATTATATATAAATTTTTATTTAAATATATATGTTAAGAAACTATATATTAAATATGCTATGTAATTATTCAGGGAAAAAAAATGCTATGTAAGTTAAATATGATAATAAATATGTATATATGTATATTTTTATGATGGCAAAATTGTTCATTAAGTTTGCTGATATTTTGAATTAAAATGGATTAAAAAATGGAGGTAAAATTATCATTTCACACATTTTTAACAAAAAAAAGTGATGAATAATTTGATAGTAATTTTTTATAGTAAAATATGAAAGTAATTTTTGAAAGGTGTCTTAGATTTATCCAAATCTCGAGGTATCAATAAAAGTAAGCCTAAAGACAACAATGAGATACGTGTTACAATGTAAAATTTGTAGCAATTTTTTTTTCCCAACATTTCAAGCGCAAATACACACCATTGTATGCATATATATAATGTCTCTCCAATGCTCAACCTTTTCATTTGGAAAACTTATGCCATCTAAGTTACTGTCATTATGGACAAGGCAATAACTTTTTTGATTGATTTTTTTTTTTCATTTTTCCTCTAAAAGCACAAGGTTATCAGGTTCATTACCAATTTAGTAGTGTTGCTCTAGTATGTGTAACTTGAAGGGGCAATCCAAATTTAATATAAGCCAGCTCATTGTTTAAAAGGTTAATTTAATTTAAAACTATTTAGGCGGACTTAGTTACAAGAATGTAATATATTCGAATAGTATATGATGAAAAAGAAATTAATATTAAAGTAATTATCAATGCGCCAATTTTTTCATATACTCGTCAGCACTTTAAGACTTATCCAATAACCTTTAGACGTTTGGCAGCGAGAAAGAAATCATTTTTTTCATTTTTTAATTTAGTAAGTAATTTTAAAGTTGGAATGATCATTCCTGATCATTCTTGAATAATAATTATTTTTACAAAATCATTCCGCTTTTTATAAAAAGGATTTCATTCCCACTTAAGAAAATATGGAGTTAAAAAAAAAAAAAGAAGAAAAGAACTAGTGTAACAAAAAATACTCAGTAAAGGGTAGTGTCAATAATAACTTGTGTCATTAAGGTCTAATTAAAAATGAAAAAAAAAAATGTTAGCATTTATTTTTTACGATTTCCGCTTTTTATCAAAAGGATTTCATTCCCACTTAAGAAAATATGGAGTTAAAAAAAAAAAATGAAAAGAAAGAACAAGTGTAACAAAAAATACTCAGTAGAGGGTAGTGTCAATGATAACTTGTGTCATTAAGGTCTAATTAAAAATGAAAAAAAAAAAAATGTTAGCATTTATTTTTTATGATGTGAATATAAGGGGGTTTAAAGAACAGGGCAATGAATTTTTTTTTAGGATGTTTACTGTTATGGACATAATTAAAGCTTCACACATTTATGAAGGATTTATGTCAAATTTCAGCATATAAGGAAAATAATTATGATATTTTACTATTATGGATATAATTATGCCTTGTATTGATGTGAGGGCATTATATTTATGAATTTAAAATGAGGAGATATATGACTATATGGAGCTATTTGACAATATAACAGTGTTCAATTATACCACAATCTTTTAGCTTATTACAGTATGATGATTGAGAATTTCACCGATCAACTTGGAATTATTTATTCATTTTTTTGTTGCTCAAATCTTGTAGAGAATCAGAAGATTACAAAGATACTAATTTTTGTTGTAAACCGTTTTTTTTGGAGAGCTGTTTCTAATAGAGAGAGTTTTTATAGTCAAATGGGTACAAGGGTCATATTAAGGGCAAAAATGGCATTATGTAAAAGTACAAACCACATGAGCCGGAAATCTCCCTCAAGGGGGGTATGTTGCTTTACATTGGGAAAGTTGGAACTCTAGGATAGTTCTGGGGGATTGGGGTAAGTAGCTTACTTTGGGAAAGTTAAGGGGCTCAAAAAAAAAAAAAAAAATTCAGGGGGCATTTTGCAACACTAGGATAGTTTTGGGAAATTTTTTGCACTTTTGCCAGGGGCGGAGCCAAAAAATTAAGGTTGGGGGCGGATTTAAACTATGTAACAAAAATTAAAAAAAAAATTATTAATCAATTGTAATATATATATATTTTTTAAATACTAGTCATATATTATATACCTTGAGGAAATAAAAAAATGAGAAAAATACTACTTAGAAAAGAAGAAAAAAAATGACGTTAGAAAGAAAATTATGGAGAAGAAATGTAAAGAAATAAACAATGTTAGAAAATCAATTTTCCTTTATAAATTGTTTCACTTTTTTAAAAATCTAAGTTTTGAAAGAAGAAAATTAAGTAATTTGATTTCACTTGGGAAGGATATATATAGATAAAAGATTAGAAAAATATAATGAATTTAAAGTCAAAAAAATTATTTTAAATTCAACGAGATTATTATTGAGTTATTAACCAAAATACAAATAGTTATAAAATTTATTATTTAGAAAGTGACAACTAAAACTATTAGCATATAGAAAGTTTTACAATACTTTAGTTTATCTTCTTTCCAAATATTCCTAGGACTTACCAATAAATATTTTTATATAA